CGTATGAGTACTCGAGGTCCCCGTGGTTTTTGGATGACTCCTACATGAGTTTCTGTAGATTGCCGAGACACTCATAGCACTGTGAGAAGTGGCAGTAGTCTTTGCGTTGGGTGCCATCCATGGGGCCAGAGACGAACATGGGGTATTGTTCGTGGTTTATGCATGGGACGATTATGGCGCCGGGCCCCTTTTCGATAGCGGGGTTGGTGGAGTCATGGGCATTCGTGGAAAGCTTCGCCAAAGTCCTTGATGTATAGTAGTCCTTTAGAATAATGGAGCTTTCGAAGAGAGGGGAGTGTTTTCATAATTTATGAACAAGAGAAATGTTACCCCCGTACCGTCCAGCCACCTTGAGAGGCGAAGGATTCTATTATTCAATACCGAATCCTCCACTTCTTAAGGCGGCGTGGATACAGTCCACAACAACGGATCCTTCCTGCATCCATTCTTCCTTGTGTTCCTCCATCCCGTGGAATAATACAAAAAAAACACGAGTTTGTGTAAACAGGCTACCGTCGAATCGTAGCATCTGCCATTGCTCACCAGTTGTCACAAAGGCATAAACCACCCCCCCCCAGTTCATTTCGCCCATGTCCTTCATCGCAAGAAGACATTGTTTTTTTGCTTCCCCTAGGGATGATCTTTTGGCCTCAACCAGGAACACAAAGTTCCGATTGCCGACGCCAACAATATCCATCATCACAAACTCTGGATTCCCACTCGTTTCTTCATCTGTGGCTACAATTGCTTTTTCCCTCCGCAAGCGTAGATTTTGTCCAGTCCCTCTTCTAAAAATTGTAATCGTTGGGATAAGGATTGTGAACACCAAGTCATTAACATTCGCTTCTTTAAAGTCTTCGTTCGTCTCGCTTGGATATCCTTCTCCTTCCAAATACTCCACAATCCGTTCGTACACTTTCTCTTTTGTTTCTTGGATCTTTTCTTCCATGAGGCTTTTGATTTTGGCTTCCTGGTTGGCAATGGCTAACATCTGCCTAACTGGGACCGCATGCTCATCGAAGGTTTCAAGGAAAAAACCCAATTGCTCCTCCGCTTGTCTATGTGAAAACCCTGAGTATGAGGCCTTGCGCCCGGGGCCTTCTGGCAGTTGACTCTGCAAAACGTTATCGTCATTAGAATTGTTTGCAGGTCATTAAGAGTTCAAGCTCACCGGTCTAGGAGTGAGGATTTTTTCAGCCACAACTGGGTGAATTTGTAAGTACCTGTGGTAGGTATTAAACGGCTTTGGTATGAGCCTGGTGATAACTGGGAGCCTAAACATCGTTGCTATTTATTTTTCAACTTAGTAAGTTGGTATTCGACAAAAATAGCTGTACAATTTACAGACATATAGAACCCGAACACAGGTATCAACAGTTTGTATGGCAAATTGTCTGTGCACATCCGACCGCCCATGCAAAATTTGAACTCA